CGGCGCGTCATGAAGAAAGACCCAGACGATGGACAAAGAAGGGTTATTTCAGTGAGTTCACGCCTGCAGCCGGGACATGGGCCCCAATACTGACCAAGCCAGTCACGACGCAAGAAGAAGCCTGGGAGTCCTTTTCGGAAGACGAGCCGGCGCCTAAGGCGCCTGCGCCCACCAAGGCGGCTGCGGCTGCGGCCCCGAGCTCTGGGACGCAGCCCAAGGCGAAGAAGGCAGCGCCCAAGGGCCAGGGCAACATTATGTCTTTCTTTGCGAAGAAGTGATGGGTCAACATTATTGGCAACCTGAGCAGAGACGTCGGGAACAGGAGGTGCATTCAGCAACGCGCGCTGCACGCAGTCAAGAGGGGTACAAACTTTTGGCATGGCGGGTTGCACATGGTCGAATGCTACGTGCCCAGAGTCTGCATCTCTCGTGCCGCCGGAGATGTAGACAGAAAGGGGCGGCTACGTGTCGATCAGGCGTGTTCAAAGAGGGTTGGACGGATGAAGGGGGGTTGAAAGAGCACCATGTTACATTCGAATAAGATCTAGCGATGGGCTACGGTGGGCTACGGCGGTTTCCGGCGGCAGGGTATGATTCGGTGCTCCCTGTGATGTCTCGGCCTTCACTTTGAACAAGATGTTGCCGCTTACATATCGGCCACAGCGTTCACAGGACTGGACAGCTTAGATTGATCCATGCAGAGATGAGATGCATATGGTGGATGGCGCAGATGGTGCCGATGGTCCTGTACTAGGTGCCCTAAAGGTAGGTACGTAGGTACTCAACCAGGAACCTTGACTACCTGCCGAGGCCCCCTGTAAATAAGGCCTAAGCGCCCCCAAGTAGCGCGTTCCCCAGACCCGCAGCGGGGTGTCTCCCTGTCACGCACCGCCCAGAGAGGTAGCTAGGCTTGCTAGGTTAAGGTACCTACCTAAGGCGGTGTGCTGTGGAGCATGGTGCATGGCTCACCGTCGACGTAGCTTCTGTTCGGCCGCATGATCTGCCGCCGTGACTTCCTCGACGCCAACAACATCCCTTCGACAACCGCGCCGGCTCAGTTCCATGCCGCCACGACAGCGCGCTGCTTTCGCACATACATGAACCCAACATTGGTCATTGATCATCCCTACCATCATCTTCTCATGTTCTAGCACAGCTCCTTCCTCGCCTTGGTCGCACCGTTCGACAGCAGCACAATGCTTCTTCCCAACTCCCTTGCTACCTTCGTCCCTCTGGTCGGCCTTTGGGTTGCCCAAGCGTCTGCTGGCCCTGCATCCGCCGGCCAGTCGTCACCAGGTCTCTTCGACCGGGAGATTGCCTGTCCTAATTATGCCCAATATTCTACCTTTGCACAGTAAGTACCATTGCACAGTATGTCGCGAGCGCCGCGGCGACATGATCCTCCCACCCGGGACTGTGCTAACGATGCATCGCGCAGTCGCCCCTTCAGTGAAGGGCCCCTCGCATTGCCGTACCAGCGACCCGATCCTCGATGCCGGACCTTTCATTCTGACGAGGTGGAACGCGTGATTCAGGAGGTCACCTCGCGCATGAAGGATCCTGATCTGGCCAGACTCTTCGAGAACGCATTCCCTTCGACCACCGACACGACCATCAAGTTCCACACAGACGGCACCGGCGCTAGCGTCATCGAGCACACGGAACGGGGTCTCAATGCCGACGGGAAATGGCAGGGCCCTCACTCTTTCATCGTGACGGGCGACATCACGGCCGAGTGGTTGCGCGACTCGACGAACCACGCTGACGCCCATCCAGCCCCTCGCCAAAAAGGACCCCGCCATCTTCAACCTGATCCTGGGCGCCATCAACACGCAGGCCGAGTATGTCATCGAGTCGCCCTACTGCAACGCCTTCCAGCCGCCGCCCATCAGCAACCTGCAGCCGAGCGTCAACGGGCAGCAGGAGGATGTCGTCCACCCGCTCTACGAGGCCACCTCGGTCTTCGAGTGCAAGTACGAGCTGGATTCTCTGGCGCACTTTCTCGCCCTGGCCAACCGGTTCCACGACAACACGGGGTCGACCAAGTTCCTCAACGACAGGTGGTACGCCGCCGTCGACACGCTCGTCTCCGTGCTGGAGCAGCAGTCGCGGTCGACCTTTGACGCCAAGACGGGCCGCTTCGTGCGCAACGAGTACACCTTCCAGCGCAAGACCGACACGGGCACCGAGACGCTGAACCTCAAGGGCGTCGGCAACCCGCTGAACTGGGGCACCGGCCTCGTGCGGTCGGCGTTTCGGCCCAGCGACGACGCGACCATTCTCGGCTTCTTCATCCCCGCCAACGCCATGATGTCCGTCGAGCTCAAGCGCACGGCCGCCATCCTGCAGGCGTCCGGAAAGAAGGACCTCGGCGTCACCCTCGAGAAGTGGGGCAAGAGGATCGCCGACGGCGTCTGGACCCACGGCGTCGTCAAGCACCGCAAGTACGGCGACGTGTTCGCCTACGAGGTCGACGGCTACGGCTCGCAGATCATCATGGACGACGCCAACTACCCCTCGCTCCTGGCGCTGCCCCTCATGGGCTTCACCGAGACGACCAACGAAGTGTACCAGAACACGAGGAAGATGCTGCTGGAGAAGGCGGGCAACCCCTACTACCTCCAGGGGCGCGTCTTCGAGGGCATCGGCGGACCCCACGTCGGCCTGTCGAACGCCTGGCCCATGAGCCTGCTGATCCAGGCGCAGACGTCGGACGATGATGCTGAGATCACAAAGTCTCTGCACCTCGTTCTGCAGTCGGCCAAGCTCGGCCTCGTGCACGAGAGCATTGATGTGAACTTTATCACGTCCTACACGCGTACGTCGACCTCTCTCCTTTCCTCTGATTGTTGTGCGGAGACTGACAACCACATGCAGGGAGCTGGTTTGTCTGGGCTAACGCCGTGTTCGCCGACACCATTCTCGACATTGCGAAGTGCAATTTGTGCCTTATCTTGGGGGACCCGTTTGCTTATCATTGGGGACATGGTTTTTTTTTCCCGTTGGTTG